AATGTGTAACGCATAATATTTTTGATTTAAATAACTGTGAAAGGGGGGCTTAAGTCTTGCAGTGGAAATATTTCAGGTGAAATATGCATAAATCGCTGGAGTCTGTGCTGCTGCTGCTGCTGACATGTGATAACCTCAATTTCGAGCGAAGCAATGGGAAACTGGGAGAGGGGGGGAGCCCTGGGGGGAGCCATGCGACTGCATAATCCGCAGCCGGAATCAGAGAACGAACTGCGAATGCAAAATACGCAAATGCATGTGCAATGCGGATGCCGTTTGTGGAGAGGTTGCCAAATGTGGCAAAAGTATTGGTAAATGCATTCCGTTTTTTTTTCTATTTTTTTTGGGTGGCATTTCAGTTCAACAATGGCTTAAATGCAAACAGAAATAGTTTACTTAGGTCTGAGAGCTATTGAACCTACGGCAGGGATATGAGAGGAAGCGATATATAGACTTAAATATATAAGGGCAGAGAGGAGTTCTAAAAGACGAATGTGTCTTAGCTTTCAGCTAAAGTCTAATAACTTAAGAGCTGATTAACCCTAATTTCTTGATGTGGGATTGCTCCTCTATAATAATAATAATAAATATTTATTTGACTATTTTTTAGAAATGTCTTTAAAGTCTAACTAGTTTTATATAACTTAAGGCCTTTCTCTTAATATATCTCTATACATCTGCATCCATATATTACGTATACATTTCTATTATTCCCTTTTTTTGTACACTCTCTCCCACACTTTAAGAGTTCCCCTCCCTTGCCGCATTCACGCACAAATTTTATTCATATGAGTGGCGCGAGTTGATGAAACAAAGCAAATCTCTGGCTGACAGAGAGACAGCCGGGCTGTCAGCCAGACAGATGAGGCGAGACTGACGTTATATGATGTCCAAACAATTTTAGCACGCAGACATTCTCTGAAACCATAAAAGCACCAACAATTCCAGCTCTTGTCATAAAAAAAAGGAACAAGGCGCAGAGTTAGGTATATTTATTTGGAGTATGCGTGGCTAGCAGATATCCTATACGAAGTTGTGCTGCTTCATTTAAATACCAAAAAAATACATAGTAAAATAAA